TTCAATCTAAAATTTAAACTAGCCTCCAGTCAACTTCAATCCAGACTTTAAGTTAGTCCTCATTCTAGACTTTAATTTAAATCACAATCCATACCTTAATTTAGACTCTAATCTAGACTTCAATTCAATCATTTATTCAAACTTCAATCTTGAACTTCAATCAACCCTCAATCTAGTCTCCAATCAAGCTTCAATCTTATTCAACTAATAATAATCATTCAATTAATTATGATTGATTTGAATAATTTAAATTCATAATGTAGCTTAAATTCAAGATTCTAAACCAAAATCCAAGGTTAACAACCCTTGTCTTAAAACCCTTTTTAAATGATTTTTCAATCACTTCAAAATAAAATCAAATGACCTATAATTCATGATCTATCAATTTCATATTCATTCGGCATGTACCTAGGTCAACCCTATAAATTTGAGTCCAATCTGAGATCTCAAGCCCTAGAAACTGAAATGAATTACAAAGGCTATAAATCTTTAAATATTTACGGCCTATGCCAATAAACCTGCCACTTTATAAAACTTGACCTCGAAACGTTTTGTAAGACTTTTAATAATGTGTATAGCCTTTATTATGATATGTATAGCATTAAACTGTATTTTATTTGACCTAAGTTGAACAATAGTTGACTAGGGGGTGAAATGAATAAAATACCCCTTAAGGATAAAATTGAAGTTCTATTCAAACATCAATATGGCCTTGTAAAATAAAACCCTAAAATATCCTCTACTGCATCCTAAACACCATTAGGAGTGCATTAGACTCAAATCCAAGCCTTAGTTAAGCCTGGTTTACCAAGTTAATCATTTTGATCCAATTATTAAGGGCTTAAATGGTTATTTCAATCCAAATGACTTCATCATTGCGCGGAACCACTTCAAATAGATTTAATATATCAATTTGAACCTAATGGACCCAATCCTAGACCATGGTCTGACCTAATTGACCAAGTTAACCATTTTTTACCAAATGGCCCCTTAAGTGTCTAAATGGTTATTTTGATTTAAATTATCCTTCCAATCCATGAGATAACATATATTAGTTTCTAATGATCAAATCAAATTGGTTGAGCCCAAATCCAACTCTTAATTTGACCTTGGTTGACCAGATCAACCATGAAAGTTTGTTATGGATGTTAAGCCCTTATGAACTAGCCCAAAGCTAACCAAGAAGGGAGGTGAATTGGTATTTTTTAAAAAATCTTTCACAATTAAAAACACAAACCAAGATTCACCACAGAAATCAAAGTGCATAAATTAATATGGAAGCAATAATAAAGGAAGGAACACACAAGATTTATAGTGGTTCGGTAAAACCTTGACCTACATCCACGCCTCGGAGGTACCGTCCGAGTATTACACTAAACTCAGTTTCTCTCCTTTAGCCCCCATAGTTAGGCAGAGAAGCCCTTACAAAATCACTTCTAGCTTCCTCGGTGCGGTGGAGTAGCCGGGTCCTTTGACACTAAAGAGATCTTCTTCTTACCAAAACTTCTCTCAAGATAAGTCTTGAATTTGATGGTACTAAGGTGCAAGCTCACCGAAGCAACCGTGTAAAACCCCCCCTCCGCACTCCCTCAAAACCCCTCCAAGGATCTTCTCTCTCAAACTCCACCTTTCCTCTCTCCCTTTCAAGCTCTCTCTTGAAGTTTCCTCAAGAAGAACGAAGCATCAATGGCTGCCAAAGACACATACTAAGTGCCTTATCAAAGTTTAAATATAAGAGCTTAAAACAAGCTCATTAGTTATAACTTGCTGACTTTATCATCCAGGCTAATATGAGCAAGCAAACACCCTCACAAACCAAAAACTACATTAATAAAATTATAAATAGAACTTGTTCTATCAAATCTTGAGCTTTGTAAGATGCACTGTAATCTTGAAATGTTAGTAAACATAGAAAGAAAAATATATTACAAATACAGGTAAACAACAGAAAGTGAGACACAATATTTATTATTATCAAAAGCATAAACTCATAGGCTCGAGTTTTAATAATCTCCCCCTTTTTCATGATGATAAATATTACAGGTTCGATTTGCAAAAAAATAACATTTTCTTCTAATCTCTCCCTTAATAAAATAAAACTTTAAAAAATAGGGGAAATCAAATTTTTTATTATTTTTAATTTTTTAAAAATAATTCAAAAAAAAGATAATCAAGAAGAGAAGGGGCACAAAAAAGTCTTTAAAAAATGAGAAAGTTACCACTTAATTTTTTTCAAAAACTTAGTAAGGAATGAATTGACAATGCATAATCCATAAAAGGTAAAAAATTCAGAAATTGTTAATCCATGCTCAAGTTCTTTTAAAGGATCAAAAACTTTTTAATCCAATATCTAAATCAAGGAACAAATTAGAAAAAAGAAACACTAATTTTTTCAAAAATTCCTTTCATAAAATATATCTAATAGAAGATTAATGCAAAAATTGGTGAATCAGAAAGTATGATTTTCAAGCTGAAGTATCAAAAATATCAAGAGTTTTCTTAAGCTTTAAGTAATACAGAAAAAGTAAGCATACTCTTTGTGAGCTCATTTTATGTCTCTTGTCCATTGAATGGCGCACTTTACGCATCTTTTATTTTTTGGTACACTTTGTGTATCTTTCTCAATTTGGCGTCATTGCGCGTCTTTTGATTTGGCGTCATTGGCCACCATTTTTATTTTGCGTTATTGGCCAATTTTTTTTAATCAAATATGCTACCTTTCTAAAATTTTAAAAACTAAAGAAAACCCATACTATTAATAAAATGAACTACTTGATTAAGAAAATAATTAGGTAGATTCAACAATTTGCAAAAGATTCCTATGTGATAGATAAAATGTAGGAAGATGAAAAAAGTTCAATTTCAAAATCCAATTTAAAATATGAAGAAGATTTTGAATAAAAAGTAGAATAACCACTTTTAGAAAATAGAGATTGAGAGTCAAAATCATGAGTTTCCTTTCTTTGATTATTTTTTGAGAAGTCAACCATAACTTACATAAGAATTCAAGAAAAAATAGGAGGTGGATTTTTCATTTTTAATTTTTTTTATTTTTTTTTTAAAAAGTGGTGATGTATGTGTGTTGATTAGAGAAAACACTACAAAAAAGAGAAAGTAAAGACAAAATTAAAAATTTAACAAAAAAGAAAAGAAAGAAAAAAAAAAGAATGAAAAAAGAATAAATCCAAAGAAAAAACATAAAAAATACACAAAAATGAACAAAACATGCAAACACAGAAAAATAAAGCACACAAAAAAAGGTTTAAACATCATCTTGCTCCTAGTATGATGATTCAGAAGCTAGGTCTACCCAGGGGATTTTTTACTTTTTCATTATTTGCCATTTTTATAATTTGCTTGGCTTTACCCTTTCCTTTTGCTAGAAGAGTTCTCAAATTAGGGCTCTGATTTTTCATTTATCTAAGTTTCCTACATCCAAAGAAAAAAACCTTAGAAGTATTCTTAATATTATCATCATTTTTATCTTTAGTCCACTTTTGTTGATGCTTATGTTTTAGTAAGCTTTCCAATTTGCTTGATAAGTTATCGCTTTCATCACCAACTAAGCCACTTTTTTCCATGTCTATAATATTTAGTACTATCATTTCACCTGCATCCAAAAGTCTTTGACCTAAACTTTGCTCGTAGGCAATGAGTGAGCCAATCAAATTATTAATAGAATAATCATTCAAATTTTTTATTCATAAATAGCAACAACTTTGGCATCAAACTTATCAAGTAGACAATGTAGAATTTTGTTGACTTTTTTAAAGTTTGAAAATTCTTTACCTGAGGTACAATGATGTCACAATTTGTATAAACCTAGTATACATGTCTAAGATCGTCTCATAAGGTTTGATGCAAAAAAGTTCAAAATCATGCATTAAAAAATTCAATCTGGATTACTTGATTTCACTTATGCCTTCGATAAAGTGTGTAATTTATCCCAAATTTTCTTGCCAATAGAGCACGTGGATATAAACATAAAATCATCAAAATTTAAAGCACAAAAAAATAGTTTAGTGATTTTGCATTTAATTGAGCATTGATTTGTTCTTCTCTACTCCATTGATTAAAAGGAATATCAGTTTTAATTTTATCTAAAATACATGATGGTACAGAATAACCAGTTAAAATCATTTGCCACATTTAAAAATTAATTGATTGCAAGGAAGTAGACATGTAAATTTTCCAAAAATCAAAAGTAATATTTTCAAACAAAGGTGGTCGGGTGATTGAATAACCTTCTGCAATATTACTATTACAAAAATTAGTCATGGATCAAAATTCAAAAGTTTTCAAAAACTCATTTTTATGAATCCTACTCTGATACCACTTGAAGTTCATTATGGATGTTAAGCCCTTATGAACTAGCCCAAAGCTAACCAAGAAGGGAGGTGAATTGGTATTTTTTTAAAAATCTTTCATAATAAAAAACACAAACCAAGCTTCACCACATAAATTAAAGTGCATGTTTCTATAGCATGTACATGGTATTTTCTGAGTTGAGAAAGCGAGACTAAAGTTTTTAATGCATATCATACTATACGATGTCGTCATCATCTATACGATTATTGATTTTTCTTCTATATGTTTCAAGGCAATTTTCCAAAAAGTCAGTTATTGGACATAGATCGTAGGTACAAAATTGTATTTCATATGTATGATTTTATTATCAATTTCTCATCTTGCTGAACCTATATATATATATATATATGTGTGCTAATATTTATATATTAATTAGTATTATAAATATTATTTAAATAATAATTAAATATTTAAATGTATATTAGTATTATAAATATTACTTATATTAGTTCAATGTTATTTTAATTAATATATAACTTTCTCCCCTATTAACTTTAACTCACCAAATATTTACTATCTCCACCCAGGTGCTCTCCCTCTCTAATTTAGTGTCTCTCTCTCACCTGACAGCTTTTTCTCTCTCTTGCTACCCTCTCTCTCTCTCCCGATCCTCTCCCCTCCCTATCTTTTTCTCTCTCTTGGCAATTACGCCAAATTGGTTGGCGTATTTGCTTCTTCTTAAATTTTTTTTTTAATCCTGCTCCTTTTACATAATCTTGTTTAAAAAGTGATCCTTTCTAAAATTTGTCCTTCCCAATATTAGATTAATTTTTTTCATTTTTCCAATCTAAAATTGCCATGAAGACACTTCTTAATTTCCTATCAATTAAATTAAAGATACTCCTACTCTTTAATCAAAATTTTCAAGCAGGAGTATATCATAAACGTAAATCCAAATAATCTTTCAAAGATCAAATATTCTCTTTCAGGGCTTGCAAATTAGATCCTTCTAGACAGGACCGAACCTTGACTAAATACCACACAACTTGTGGCTAAGCTACTAATCATATCTTGATAATGCCCTACATCTACCTTCACCCTAAAGTTATCTTGATAGACTTAGATGGAAGGGCTCATTGGAGTCTTCATAGGTTTTATATTTTCAAATCCGTCAAGTTTACGAGCTTTCCTATATACTTAGCTTGATTAATGATTATTCTGACCACAGTTGCTTCACTTCAAAACCAAGAAGGAAACTCAACTCTCCGAATTAAACTCATCTTGGATTTGGCATGCTATCAACAAGTTTCCTATATTCATTATTAGACCTAATTATAATATCTTATGCATGAACCTAAACAAGAATCAAAAGCAAGCTCTCCTCTAGCAAAAGTTACTCTATTCAAACAAATTACAATTATTCAACTATAAATTCATAGCGCTAAGATGTCATAAGTAAACTCTTATATAACCTATAATGGCATTTTTAGTGATCAGATCAATTATGAAGGTTCTATCACACATCTATGCATGAATATATGATAAAGCAATCAAAGATGGATTTAAATAGAAAATGACACGAGAAAAGTTGAACACTCACCACTCTGTTTCAGCTCGCCTCTGGATAAATTCATCTGCAACCTGGCACAACTAGCATTTGAGAATAGAACAGCATAACAGAAGGAAGAAATTCAATAATCACAGTGGCTAAATTGCAAACAATGTGCAATCAGTTAAAAAAAATCAAGAAATCAAGAGAAGTATGTAGATTATAAGTATTATAAGACCAAGGACTAGCATCAAATGCGCATCATAATATTTTAAAACTAATAAATAAGTATATATATTAGGAATCTGCACTGCTTACTGCCTTTTTTTTTTTAAATAACAAAATTATGCACGCTCAGATCAGTATAGTTGGTCGATGGAGACAAAAAAAACTGTGTTTCAGCAAATATTATAGACAACATAAGTAAATGTTAATTACTTTATTTCTCAGTTCATCAGCTAGCTCCTTTTGGAGGTTCTCGCTTGGTGTTGGTTTACCTGCTCTCAAGCAGGCACCATGAGTCACTGCTCGGAATAAACATCTCCCATCACCGGGAATTCCTACATATGGAAAACCAAAAAATCCGACTTTTATTACAAATTTTACAATAAAAATTTTCTGAATGGAGAGAAAGCTTTGACATTCTTAGAGAATGCAACTAACAAGGAATATTTATTTGCAGCAGCAACAACCTCTAAAACTTATGGAATAGAAAAGTACACCTCAAATTTATGGGAAAATTTTATAAGATAGTGGTTAGACTTGCAATGCTTTATAACGCATAATGTTGCCCACTAAAATGGATGAATAAAATTAATTTAAGTGTTGCAGAGATGAGGACACATAGGTGGGTGAGTGGATTTACACTTAACGATGGAATGTGAAAAAAGTATGTATGCGAAAAGGATGGAGTAGCTCTAGTGGCAGATGAGATTAGAGAGAGTCGTCTTAAATAGTTTGCTCATATAAACTGTCGGCATTCCGACGACCCTATTAGGAGAGTGAATGAATTAGATCTGACATATGTTAAGAAAGGTAGAAGTGAACCTCTTTTTATTATAATTTGGCTCTTAATAGGACACAATGGAGAAAAATGATTCATTAGCCAACCCCCGTAGTAGGATAAAGCTTGTTGTTGTAGTAGTAGGATTAGGTGTCGAAAAATAATAAAATAAGATTTATTAAATAGGAAACTTATAAATTAAAATTTATAATTACTTAAAATTTTAGTTTTTTATGCATATGTGATGCAGTCAAGGTAGGGCTGATTTGGAGGGGTTTTTGATCTTCTCATGTGGTTGTTTGGTCTCACAATGTGGTTGTTTTGTCTTCCCATGGTGGTTGTTCGGCTTTCATGTTCTCCCTTGGTTTTCCTGCTACTGGTTGCCTGTTTGGATGGGTTTTCCTTGCTGCTAGCCGTTCAGATTTCCCTCTTATTGTTTTCTATCATGTGTGCTTTAACATCACATCAAATGGGCTATCATGATAGGCTTCTATTGGTTGTTTTTGGTGGCACAATTATGTGAATTATTAAATATTATTCCCCCTTCTTTCTCCTATAAATTGGGACTGAATTCCTTTGTGAAAGAGAGTTTTGGAGAGTGATATGTGATAAATATTTGGAACGGGAAACCCGCAGGTTTGTAATAGCTTGTGAGCTATCTTCTTCTACCTTCCTTCTTATATTTTGTCTTGGAATTCTATCTATTCTTCTCTCCACAGTTCTCATTCCACATGTATCTTTCTTCTCGAAACTTTGATTGGTTGTAAGTTGTGTTGTGTCCTTTTTATTTGAAGTTGTAAGGTGTTGTTGTGTCCTTTTCTATTAGAAGTTGTAAGGGTTGTTATGTCTTGTTTAATGTGAGTTTGAAATGTTGTGTTGTGATATGGAACATGAAACATGTGGATTTGTCATAGCTTGCGAGCTATCCTCTTCTACCTTCCTTCTTATATTTCATCTCAGACTTTTATCTATTCTTCTCTCCACAGTTCCCATTCCACTTGTATCTTTCTCCTCGAAACTTACTGGTCGTAAGTTGTGTTGTGTCATTTTTATTTGAAGTTGTAAGATGTTGTTCTGTCTTTTTCTATTAGAAGTTGTAAGCATTGTTGAGTTATGTTTTATTATGTTTTTTTTTTTTTGTTATATTGAAAGGAAGGTGTTTAGTTTGCATACCTAGCGTTTTCTTATGTTCGGAGATTTCAAGATTGCATCAATATGCCTCTTGCAAGTTGTGCAAAAGCCCACCTCAGCTTTACTAAGGCATATGCCCTATCAAGCCAAGGAGAGGCATAGCCTCTTGGCATTTTTTTTTTTAAATTGCATTAAGGTGCATCTCTTATTGTGCAATCCTAAACAATGACTAATAGGTCATTGTGTGAAGTCCTCCTCATGGGCACTACTTGTGTACTTTTAAAGAAACCCTAGCTATAAGATTTGGATATCACCCATTATAAGTGTTCAAACCCACATATTTTCAAGTGCCAAGGCAACTAGACTGCTCTAAATCCCACAAAACCTAAGCATGTTGCTCCACAACAATCTTGGGGCTCTTTTAAGTGTCATCTAAGCTTTGGTAGCCTTCACCACCTAAGTCAACTCATTATCTAGTCCTTAACATTTCATTTTAGGTGAGTAGAATGTTGTCCGAGTCCTAAGATGATTATCCTAAAGAACCCCCAAATGAGTTATAATTGTTGAGGAGCATCCAGCATGTTATTACACAATATACATTAGTTAAATATATTTAATATAAAACTTAATTAATCTCAAACTTGATATATTAATATCAAACTTCGTATATTTATTTATATTTAATATCAAACTTAGTTCATCTTAAAAGTAATCAATATCAATCTTCATATAATTAATATCAAACTTGGTATATTTAATATCAAACTTAATTAATAATGCAAAAATTTATTTCAAAATATTAAAATTAATCATTATTAAATCTAATTATTATAAGAAAAAGTTAAATTACTTTACTTTCAATTTAAAGGGTCATTAATAATTGCACAATATTTAAAAGTTAATTATATTTAATTTTTATTAATTAGTTAATTATATTTAATATTTATTAGTTAATTATAATTATTATATGAAAACAAAAAACACAAAAAAATTGCGTTTTCTTTTGTGTTTTTGTGAAAAAATAATTTCTTTTTTACGTTTTCTTTAGAAATCAACACAAATGTTTTTGTTTTCTCAATTTTCTCACAAATCGCAAAATGATCTCGCGCTTTTAACCTTTTAAATTTTTTTTCTAATATTACGTTCCTAAAGCTAAAATAAACATAAACAATGATCCATTTAAAAATTTTGCCCATTTTTATAAAATGATTTTATAAAATAAATTATAACATTTTAAAAAATTTCAATCAGTGCATATAATATTATATATTTATGGATCTAAAAATTTTTATTATTAAAAAAATTAATTTAAAAAACACAGTTAGTATATATACTTTCTAATTTTTATTAATATTCTCATTTCTTGTTTTTCTATATTGCTAGTTTTCATTATCAAATGTCTGAAACTAATTTGACATTTTTCATATTTTTATTTAAAGTTATATTAAATAATAGAATTTTTAAATATTTTATATGTATAGACCAGTTCTATATATTTTCTTTATATTTTACAAAAATAATTCATATTTAAACATCATATGCTATTAGAAAGAATTTCTTTCTAATAAATAAATTTTATTCTTAAAATTATTTTTCACAATTATATTTAGTTCAAATAACTTAGATATTAAATGAACTTGTTAATTTATATTTATATTTTGATTTTATATTTTGTGTATTTATTCATATTTATTATTCAATGTCTAAAATTAAAGTTGGTAGTTCTTACATAATTGTTTATACTAAAGTTAATTCATATTATTCCAAAATAATTTATTTGTAATGATCAAATTTATGAAAATTTTATTTTAAAGGTTAAATATTTTTAAATCTAAAAGATTACCTAATCATAAAACAAAATTTATTGAAAAATAAATTTACTTTCAGATATGTATTGTTGTATATGTTTTTTAAATTATATTTCAAATTTTATTAAATTAAATTATGCCTATGCTTTTAATAACAGTAATTTAAAAAAATTACACCTCAAAAATATAAATAATAACTCATATAAATGGTATTAGAAATTACAATAAAACAAAAGAATGAAAAGTAAATTAACTTCTATTAAAAAGAAATTCATCTTCTCACAAAAAACAATTAACAAAATATACAACAACAACAACAACAAGCATTTATCCCACTATATGGGGTCGGCTACATGAATCTTTTTTCTCCATTGTGTTATATAAAGAGTCAATTTCTTATCTAAATATAAAAAAGAAATGTCATTTCTAATAATTTCTAACCAAGTCTTTTTAGGTCTAGCTCAAAAATTAATTAGCAAAATATAATCTAAGAAAATTAGAGCAACAATATAAACTTATATAATTAAAAAAAATATGTTAAAAACTTACCTTAGAATTTCTCAAATTAACCAAACTTAAATCTATCAACACCTCAAAGCTCTGTCTCCAATTTCTCCACAAAACACTTGCTCTATTCGGCTGAATTCCAGTGCCATTTATAGCACTGGAAAGAATCTGATTAGTTGTGTTAATTGAATAAACGGCCGACAAATTAAGCCTAATTAGTGAATATGATTTTTCTAAGAAAACACAAATTTTTTTTGCGTTTTATTTAGAAATCCACTCAACTGGTTTCGTTTTCTCACAAATTGCAAAACGGTCTTGCATTTTTTATCCTTTTAAAATTTTTATGATATTAAGTTCCTAACGCTAAAATAAACGTAAACAATGATCCATTTAAAAATTTCGCCTAATTTCAATAGTTTTAATTTCAAAACAATGCATCAAAGCAACGTTTTGTGATGAAGTTGAACTATGTATCATCCATTTCTTCGTCTTTTTAAGATCAATGATCAAACCTACTTGAGAAATTGAACAAATTTAATCCCTAAGTTGTTCAATATTTACGATCAACATTAGATTTGATCATATATATTTGGAAGTTTGAATATCAATAACAAATCTTGTTGCATATAATATTTTTTATATTCATGATATAATATTTTTTATATTCATGAGATAAAGTGGCACACGGGGGTTTCATGGATTTTATGATAATTTCATAGTTCATTAGATGCATCGACACTTTTTTTATGGATGATTTTGAAACATACGAAGAAATTTCTTACTTTAGGGCATATTGATAGGTTGATTGATGAAATGAAAAAGTAAAGTTTTTTATGTAGGCTTCTACATATCATCTAATCACACTCATTTATGATATATGCTTGGTTAATGATTAAATTATTATGAAAGTTGATGAATCGCAAACCCTAATTAACTTTCATAAAAAGATTAAAAAGAAAGGCTTGATCTGTGTTTGAAAACAATAGAAGGTTCTCAATGAAAAGAAAATAGTATGACTACTATCCCTCTAGAAAAATCCATCCCATCCCATCTCTCTAGACAAGACATTTGTAAAAAAAAGAATTCAAATCATTTGTTCTGGTTTTGATGATCCTAAAAATGATTCTTGCTCTTATAATGTTCTAAAGCAAAATTAACCAGGCACCAAGTTGACATTGAATATGTAAGGGTTATGTTAATGCTATTACAATATAGTAGTTGCTAAAGTTATGCTCTACCATATTCTACTCTTTCATCAAGTTCAAGATGCATATCTATTGCAGGGTAAAAACCCTGCTCACTGGGAGAAAACCTCCATATCTAGATGGGGAAACAAGAAAGTTTCAACCAAGAACACACTGTGACAAGCTTTAATAATAAATGGTGCGCACAAAGAGAAATTATTCTGTGCGGAGTCCGAACGTAGAGGATATTCTAGATTACTGGATGCACTGCATACGCTCTGACTACGCTCTGCTTACGCTCTACGTATGCTCAGCTTACACTGCATATTTGTAGATACGCAGCAAATAAACAGCAAATCCTCACAACTAATTATTTGCTGCGTATCTACAAATACGCAGTAAGTAGGCAGAGCGTATTTAGAGCTTGCGCATAACGTATAGAGCTTACGCATAACGTACACAGTAATCCGGAAGATCCTCTATGTTTGGACTCCACACAGAATAATTTATCTGCACAAAAGGCTGATATCACTACTCATAAAAAAGTAAAGAACCATGAACGATATGTAGTTAGCTCATCCAAAGTTCAAATGAAATTTCGAAATTACTTGGACAAAATTGTAAAAAGGAAGTAACTTTGAAGACAAAAATACATAACTAATCTTCGATGGGAGGATTCATCAAAAATAGGAAGAAATATCAAAGGACTTCTGCTCCATCTAGTTATACTAAAACATTTTCCTGCTCTTAATACGCATATCAAGATAAGAAGATTAGGTTTTGTTGGTATTCTTCTAACAGTTTCTCAAAAAGAAATTTTAATGCCTTTACGAGAGGAAAGAATTGAAGAACCATACTACCGATTATCTGAACGAAACATCAAATTAAATGCAAATTAGGGCAAAAACAAAACAAACCTAACTCGCTTTCCATGCCCAGACTGACCAGAACAAGCTGAAAGCCTAGAAGCAAAGAAAAGAGGCTAAAAGGACAACGAAGTAGCCAGGCCTAGTTCACACGAAAAGAAAGCAATCTAATTCGAAGTCCAAAGTCGTACGAAACGTGCGAAAGTGAACAGTGATGGGAAGGCAAAGTAAAGAAGTTGTGAGGGACGAACATAAAACTCCGAAAAGGACGAAAAACACGTACTAATCGATCGCAGCGGGGGAAGATCGTTACCGAACATCGTTCGATCCGACCCCTAAATCAATTTCCAACAAGCATCCACATGAAAATCACCCTTTATTCCACTAATCCTCGCCCTCGATATGTAGATTAGGGAAGCTAGAAGAAGAAGATAGTTGATCGCTAGTATATACCTGTGCGCAATGAGCTCCAGAGGAAAGAAAGGAGACATCTTTCGGAAATTTACAGGTAATGGTGATGAAAAAGCAGGGCAGGGAGAGAATTTGATTCGCTTGGATCATGCTCCAATCATCCGATGCTTCATTTCTTCGTCAACTATTTCACTTTTGCTTCAGCAGTTCATGGCTGCCCTCACATCAACAAATTATCGACGCGCCCCGTCATCACAGCGGGAAATTATTCTGTGAGGACTCTCAACTTGAAAAATTATCGGGCGTGTAGAGATACATCAGGTAGCTTATAATACGTCGTTATGTGCACTTATTTTTTACCGTGCGGCCCGACGACCCGATTCGGACCGAATTCGGGATTACTATGTTCGCATATTGCTCGGTATTTGCTCGGTATTGCTAGGTATTACTCGGTATTGCTTGGCAATAACGATAAATACCGCTCTATAAAGACCAATACCGACCAACACCGAGCAATACCGAGTAATACCTAAAAGAACTCGGTATTAAGACCGAGCAATACCGAGTAATACCTAAAAGAACTCGGTATTGCTCGGTATTACTCTTCATAGAATAGTATTTTTCATTTTTGTCGAGCAAAATGGATCAATACCGAGGTATGCCAACTCCCGGGTCCTCTCCGGGTCGGGTTGTCGAGCCGCGCGGTAAAGAGTAAGTGCACGTGGTGACGTATTAATATAGGCTACATGATGTATCTCTACGTCAGGTAACCTGACGGAATAATTTTTCCCGAACTTGAGTATGATAAAATATTTTATGAATATTTTTTACATATTTATAAATACTCGATAAATATTCAGTTCATATTCAATTCATACGCAGTTCATATGCAGCATCCAAACGATTCTCTACATTCGGAGTCCTCACAGAATATTAATCACAGCATACGGTACACTAGTGCATCCTAATTGACCCCGAATGATATCTAGTGCATTATATAATAATGCATCTACAGTGTATTAGTGATGTGACGACGCATCCTGAGTAGATTTCAGATAATATTCGGTCACCGCACGTAATAATTTTGTCGTCACAGCAGAGTGGCGGCCCATAGAAACTCCATTATTAGAGTGGAAACGACAAGTATGAGAGTGCATCAGTAATGATGGGTTGGGTGTAGTGTAAACGAGTCGATCAGCGCTACAATTTAACTAAATCATTGAATTTGATTTTGATTTTAAGTTTAGTTTTACTAATTTAAGTCATTAAAAATATTATAAATCAATTGATTGATATAAAAAAATTAAATGTATATCTCATAATCCACATAATTATTGGTGAAGGAAATATATTAATTATTGGTGACATGTTAAGTAGAAAAAGGATTTACTACAAAGTTGGCATTGATGGGATGTACTTGTGAAGAAGTGTTGACCACTGAACTCAAATTGCCAAGAATAAAATATGTTAGTAAGGTTGTGAGAATCTGATTGGACAATGAACCCGAGGAAGAAAGAGAAGTTCATAATTCGAATTGTTCAACCTGATCGACGGAGATAGAGGTTGAATCGGATGACATAATAAATAATTATATTATTAAAAATTAATAAAATTAACATAATAATATGAAAAATCTAACCTTAAACTTAAATACGAAATCATCATATTATACATATAAAATATCCAAACTAAGATTGAGTTAGAGGTTTAAAATCATAATTTACAAATAATATAATTTATATTTAATATAAAATTAGTTACATATATATTATAAAATTTAATATAAATAACTTATAATTTTTATTATAAGTATAGATATAATTTATACCTATGAGAAGTATACAAAATTTAAATAATAAAATTATGCTAATAGAAATACATAAAATAATTGTTCATTTTCTTATCATTACTTATTTTTAGATAAAAAAAAATTATAATTACAATGTGACTAATTATATTAATTGTATTTCTATTAAATTAAATGAATAAGTATTTTATACAATCAAAATTAATTTTATCACTATTAAATTTGAAACATTATTTATATGCGAATCAGTTATAATTGTATATATATTATGATTATTAGTTATTTAAAATATTACATATTTATCTAAACAAAATAATTTATTTATATTGTATTATTTTAAGTTATTTGAGAGTTTATAAATAATATAGTGTTTACAAAATAACAAACTAGTAAAAATATTCAAATCATAAAATACTGATATTACGATTTCATAGGTTTTTGGGCGCTACATGAAAGATTATATAAAGACCTAAAAAGTAAATAAATATGATGATTATGTGAATAATAAAACTCTAAAATGCACATGTCAAAATAATTGTCAAAACTCTAGGGAGTACATGTGGATAGCTCCTTAGAACGAGTGGTTAGTAGTCGTCGATTGAGTAGGCGAGATTGTGAATCTCTAAAAAGGGAATGTTGACTTGTGAAATACTTGGTTTAGGGTAAGTGCATACAAGATTTTGCTGATGATCAGGTGAGTTCCCTCTCAAGCTGGGGATAATATATGATCTTTCATAAAAAAGCAAGTGCCCCTATAAACTGGGAGAAATTATTCTGTGCAGAGACCGATCAGCGAGAACCATCCGAATTTGCTGTCATTCTACTGTCTTTTTGTTATGCTTTTGCAAATACTCAGCAAAATGACAACAAATATGCAATTATGATTTATGAATGCACTTTTGATGTATATTTGCTGTGTTTTTTACGAAACGACAGCAAATATCCTACTAATTAAAGATTTATAGCGCTTTTGCTGCCCCTTTGTAAAAGCGCATCAAATACTAAGCAAAAGTGCATTCATAATTGTATATTTATTGCCCGTTTGCTTAGTATTTGCAAAAGGACAGTAAAAGTGTAACAAATTCGAATGGTTCTCACCGTCCGGTCTCCCCACAGAATAATCTCTCATAAATTGGGGCGAGTCTATAAGTTGAGCAATGATGGGTGTATATCTAGGCTAGTCTCTAAGTATGTTGATGAGTCTTTGGTGAATTCGTCATGACTTTAGTGAGTCCACAAGGGTCCCCCACTAAGTCCTCTATGAGTATGGTGAGCTCTTGCTAATCTTTGGCAAGTTTTTGATGTCATTCATGACTCGGACTAAGTATGTTCAAAATTATTAGAAATATTTATGTATATATTTAATTTCATGATTTTTGTGTATCACTGAAATATAACTGTGAAATGAACAAGAGAATGAATATAAATTCAATCTTGTTGACTGAACAATTCAATCATTATGATTTGACACTTTTTCTCAAAATTTCATGGAATGAATTCTCCCAACTTCCTTTCTAAAATCCTTTACTCCATCTTCCCTTGTTCTTCTCCCTCTCAATCCAAGGATCGCATTAAGTTCTCAAGGAATAATATTGATATGATGTTAGTACATAGAAATAAAGAGAGAGAAGAGAAAAATCTGAAAGAATTACCTTCTCCTCACCAAAACAGAATGAAGGAAGAAGACGAGAGTAAGAGCAAAGAGATTGCAATTGAAACCGAGAGTGAATTTCTCAAAAAATAAGTTGTGGCAGAGATAATCACAGAATTATCAATTTCAATCCCTCAGGGCACTAAGAATGCAACAATTCTAGCTTTGGATTTTGAGGCTTTGAATAATATTGTAGTCACCTTATAGTTTGAGTTCTAGTATTAGAAGTTGAAGATTGACTAGAAGATTATCAAAATCCAATATTTTGGGCTAAGAGAATTCACCTTGAATATTTAGGTTTTGTTTGGGACAGTTTTCTTACTGTTTTATGAAGCAATTTTTTTAGTACAATTTTTTTTAATTTGAAATTTTCATACTAAAAAACTGATTCACAAAACAGTAAGAAAGCTGTCCCAAACGAAGCCACCTCTACAACAATTCATAGCTTTTATTTTGCTCGCTTTCCACACTTCAAGACTTTGAGCTATCATCTAATGACAGTGTTTTTTGCCCAACTTAGTGTTAAGAGTTGCCATAGACTTTGACAAATAACTTGGATAGTATTGAGAGTGCAACTTTAGAATCTCTTACTAGTTAGAGCCTTGAAAAAGCTCCACTCCCAAGCTGGAATCCCTTGAGAAGAGACAATAACAATTGCTTAAAGAAAGAAAAGACTCGTTAAATGTTTAAGGAAGAAGAGACTCATTCAAAAGAATAAAGACAAGCGAGTGAGTTTATGAATATCCAATTCAGCCTAACCCATCGTCTAAGATTAAGAAGATAGAAGTTATTGAGTTTATGGTGTTTCATATACCCTAGAAGGCTGGCCTTGAAGAAGTCATAAGTTGGACTGTTTGAAGTATTCTCACCATTTCCCAAAAGGCTATTCAAAATAAAGAGCCTGTGAAGAATTGTTTTAGACTATTCAAAGGCATGATTTTCTTACCTCTCTTACCTCTCTAACTCTTGTTACAAATCTCAATATTACTCATTTTGCTATAATTTTTTTAATAAAACTAATCATGCAGCATATCACACATGAAGATAGCTAAGAGAAAAGATTTTAATTAGCAGATTTTTACAATCTGTCTTAAGAGATTAATAACTTCTCATAATTCAAAATTTATCATCTTATTAAGAAAAGATAATATTTTTGGATCATTTTCATTAATCTCCTAAACATTTTTTTTTTCATAAGCCTCAGTAATTTCATGTACACAATCTGTATCAAAATGCAAGTTTTCAGTTTTCTTAACTAGTGTTATAATTTATCTTTAAGTAATCATCTAATTATTTCTCTAAATGAGGATGTTTATTAGTTTATTTGTACAAAATTGAGATATTAATGCTTAGTTTTGTGAAAATCAGGCACGAGTAATTAGCTTGTAATATTGATATTGATGTAGGATTCTTGAAGATTTCAAGTAATTCCTATCAATCTTTAGAAAACAGCAAAAATCCTCCACAAAAATCCACACAAACCCAAGAAAACAGAACAAAATTTGTATTATTTGATGAAACATAAACGGAAAATAGCAAGATACTGTTGATCCTCAATTCGAGAGGAGGACCGATCACTCCCAAATCTCTAAACGCCGCTAGAGCCCAAAGAAAACCTAAACCTAAGAGATCTCAAATTTCAGCCAAATTCAAGATGTCCTAACCCTAGGAAAACAAACTATTTAATGTATACAATTCAAAAGGAAATCCCTAAACAGTCCCTACATTCAATTTCCCCTCCAAATTCCCTCAAAAACCTTCCAAATTTGCTCACCTGGTTTCGGCGGCTCGTCCAGGAGAAGGATACCCCGCCTCGTTCGCAAAAGTCGGTCCCGTGTGGACCGGCTGGACCGGTCTAACAGATTCCTAAATGTTCATATATCAATGGCAACCCAAACGTTAATGTTCTATGTTTTACCATCATCCATGGTGCACACAATTTTATAGAATAGTTTTCTGCTGGAAACAAAGATATGCATTGCATATGATAATAAGCATACATTATTTCATAGCATCTTAAAGATTTAGGAGAAGGAAATTGAGCACTTTAGGTATATACAGAATACAGTACAGCATGAAAGGACAAAAAAGAAGCTAAATTGCTAAATGAAGAAGTCTGTACATGCTTTCTATTCTTTCTTTTTTTCTCAAGGCCAAGAGAAGAAGGTGACAATAGTACTCTGTCGCACAAGAGATAAAAGAGACATTTACATGACTATTAGCTGGTTCTATAACTAAAGACAAATGGTTGTGTTGTAATACTGGTACACTGAAAAATACCTGTCCTTCAAAATGGAGCTCAGTGTCTGTCCAAGCATCTTAGCTCTTGATTTGCACAATTGCACTTCACTCCTGCTTCTGTTGCTGAAATATAGAAGGCTCATGCGCTGCTACTCCTTAAACAGCTTCAGCAACCTATGAGCCTTTCCCCTTCAGTTCTCTAAATACAATGGTTGTCTTCTAACACTGATATACTGAAAAATGCCTGTTTTTCCAAATGGAGCTCAGTGTCCTTCCAAGCTTCTTAGCTCTTGGTTTGCATAGTGGTTTTGAGTCAGGTACTACTGCGCACTCAACACTGCTATCCTCTTGCTGCTCTTGCTGAAATGATAAAGGATCGCGCTGCCGCTGCTCCCTAAACAGTTTCAGCAACTTCTGAGCCTTCTCCTTTCCTTTGGTGCTACCACTAACGGATACCGACACGAGAGCAGGTATTACACCCTCTTGTAGAACCATGTGACTGCAACAGTCATCGCCATTGCATAGAATCAGAAGGCATGAGACAACCTGCTCCTGCTCCGCAGGCTCACCGGTGTCAAGTATCATGGCAAGATTTGCTATCAGACCTTGTGTCAACACCATCTCTCTCTTTCCAGCTTGGGTTGATGCTAGGTTTATGAAGACAGTAAGCACCTTCTCTGCCCATGCAGAACCTTCCTCATCTTGAGCATTTGAGGTAAGTAGAGATAAGAGGGCACCGACAATGCCGGAATCGAGGAGCGGTTGGATATTGGATGGATGAGTGGAGAGGTTGTAAAGGGTGAACAAGGCATCATGCTTGCAGGAGCTGCTATTCTGGGAGCTGTCAGATTGTAGGGACTGAACAAGGAATGGAACCGCATGGCTTGCGCCAATGATGGGTTTTGCTTCATCAAGGACAGAGAGGTTGAGGATTACAGCAGTCGCAGATTGCTGCGTTGAAGGATTGGAGATCATTCTCTGTAGGAGAGGAATGATGTCAAAAGACAACAAACTTTCCTTGTTCCTGAAATGGGATGAACCATGAATAAAATATGTTAGGAATCGTGATGTTTTTAAACTAATTCTTTAAACAAAAGAACTCTGCTATTAACCACTCTTGCAAAACAGATACAAATGAAGATCATGACATTAGAATTTTGCCATGAAAACTGCTCAGTAGATAAACAACCGAGTGTGCATATTCAATCAAGTGCAAAGGATAGTGGAACAAGTTGCTCTTCACTTAGAGTGACGAGGCACTACTCCAATATTTAAGAAAACTGAAGAAATTAAAAGGATTTAGAACAGGCGGTAAATGTAAGGGTAAACTTGGACAAATTATTCTGTGCGGAGTCCGGACGTCGTCCAGAAACCAATAAAAATGCGCCACGTCACCTCAAAAGTGTACCGCGCTCGGTACCGAGCATGATACCTACTGCTCGATATCAAGCGGTACCGAACGGTTCTCCCGTCCGGCGTCCGCACAGAATAATCTCTCGTAAATTTGTGTATAATAATCCCTCTGTTCCATAAAAAAAAACACCTCAAGAGATTTTTTACCTGTTATTGTTGACAGCAATGTTGAAAAGAGCCATGGCACCAATTTCCTGGGCCTTCTCGTCTCCTTCATCAATAGCTGATTTCAAAAACTGGACAAGTGCCTCAACAAAACCATTTGCACCCATATATATCCTTGCCTCCTCGTCATCCTTTAGTAATAACCTTATTTGCTCCACTGCTTCACATTGTCTGCTTATGCTCTCACCACCATAAAGTACAGCAAGCAAGCTCTCATATATCTGAAGCTCATCTTCTTCAAATGCTTGACCACAACTATCATTGAAACTACCCATCTCTCCCTCTAAGGTCTCCTGAACAGAACCGCTTGCATCAAAGGGAACTATCTCCGTCTCTTTGAGTAAGCACAAGCTCCTATACCCTGTAGATCTGGTATCTGTTGTCTCAGATTCTGATAATACAATTCTCCAGTAATTAGCATCAAGAGACTCTGGAGGACCATCGGGGAGGGGGACGCCATTTTGTTCGCACCAGCTAGCAATCAAGCCTTTGACACAATAATTCGGCGTCAAGCACAGGTGAGGCAACTGTTGCTGAGTTTTAGGACAAGTTTGATGTCCATCATTGAACCACTTCTCAATACAAGCACGTTCATAAGTTTGCCCTGATGAAATAATGACCGGATCATACATGAGCTGGAAGGAGATGGAGCACCTCAACTCTTCTGGGGGTATAGGCAAGTTTCCAAATATCACACCACTTTGTTTGGAGTTGAATGAGCTGAGACTACTAATCTGTTTCTCAAATGCCTGAGCAACCTCGCCAGTTTGAGAGATATCATCTAATGATCCTAATACAGTAGGAGAACAAGGAGCTGATCCCTGGGAATCTGTATCATCTGCAGTCTCAGCTCTGAAATGCTTAGAGTACTTTCGCAGAAGATGCAGTAGGTAAGTGACAATGGATTCCTTCCGTTTATCGTCTTCAGCATGAGCTCTTTCAATGAGCTTCTTGAGAGCTCTTCTTTCAACAAGTGCTGCACGAGAAGAAGTGATGCCAAGTTTTGATGCAGCTTGGTGGAATATTTCAAGTTCATCATTACAGCTTGGGCTACAGTTTCCTCTCCTCTCTTTCTGAAGTAATGAAATCACATCATTTCCAATCTGTTTCTCTGACTGATCCAGCTCAAACACAGTAATCTGTAGCTCACTAACAATCTCCAGAATCTGACAGACAGAGTAAAAGTAAGAAAAATCTGCTGAAAGAAAAGTTTCCATATGCTAGTAAAACACTTACACAAAGAATAATCAGCTTTTTAAATATATCTAAATAAATATTCAATAAAAATGCCCGTATAGGCATTCGTAGTACTGTTATGACTTATTGAGGATGACCAACAGGACTCAGTACAGCGACCAAAGAATCAATCGTCATTTGGAAATGAAGAGGTCATATGGAACACTGAAATTTGAACGCTAAGCAGCATAAATTGTATAGAACTAAATCCTAACGTTTTCAAATTGATAGTTTAAATTAATAAACACTAAAATCGTACAGGTTTGAAGAGAACTGACCCTAATAACAGGAAATCCCAAGACTTGCTAAAAAGGAGCAGATTTCCCATAGGGTAATACCCTACATGAAATCAGTCAAACAAATTTGTAGCAGCTGATACATCAGAGATGTCGAAAACAAACATTTTGCAGCATATATTACTTGTTTTTGCTTGTAATAAAAAACAAATATTTAGGGGTAGAGCTTGAAACTCGAAGTGTTTGAAATCAAGCAATCTTTTTCAAAAAAAAATTTTAACAGACCTATTAAAAGTGTACAGATATGTTTAACATGAAAACTAGCACGATAATATCTTCAGGAAAGTGAGCCATGGCATAAATTTTCTAGGCAAAACCATTGGTAGGAATGCATTGCAATCTAGATTACGGGTGCAAACATAATTGAATCATAATAATACTACTGTACCAACTAAGACTTCATTTGGGGCGGCTTTTTTATTGCTTCTTAAAGCAGCTTTCTAGTACAAAAATTAAATTTTTTTACTAAATAGTTGCTTTAAGAAGCAATAAAAAAGCCACTCCAAACGAAGCCTAAGACTATCTATTCAATCACCACAATCTAATTTTCATACAAGTAAACAAAAAAATAATTTTCAAGTACTTAAAAACACTAAAGCATAACCCACCTGACAACCAATATTTTGAGGGACTATGTTCTCAACACGTGTAAGACTATCTAGGAGAGAGCATCTTGCTTTCTCAAATTTCATGAGAATGGAGTCGCAAGTAATGGCCTGAAAATTCAAAACAAGGGAAAAAAATACACAGTAAGTACAAGCTAACCTATTATGAGCATCATAAAGTCAGATAGAATTCTTTAAAGCAGTGAAGAAGACTTCAGCCATACAAGCAACACATCATTGATAGTGCATATGCTTCCAACGCGCCATAAATATCAAACAAATCCAAATGCATACTCCTTCACAACTTTCAAATTACTTGTGGAGGTAAGAAGGTTTGAATAGCCTGAGGGCACAAACACAATTGAAAAATATATGCCGAGCGCAGGCCTACCATGACATTGATATACTATTATTCAGTATTACTAAGGGGCTGTTTGGTAGCACCCAACATTTGATTTAAGTAGGATTTCATAAATCCGCTAAATTCAGATTTCGAAAATCCTGAGAGGCCTAAATCATGAAAACTATTTGGTAACATTCATGATAAATTCTATTAAATCCCGTGCGACTGTTTGGCTATAGAACAGTTTTAACGAGCGGACTCTTCCTCTCGATCCAACGAATTTAGCAAATCCGGCAAAAAACAAGATTTTGGAAATCCGGGATTTAGCACAAAAAGACAGAATTTTCCATCTACGGCGGCTTTCATTTGCCGTGAGATTTGGTTTTGCATTTTAGGCCGTTTTACTGAATTTTGCTCAAATCCGCCTCAAATCCCGCCTAAATCCTGCTACCAAACAACCCCTAAATGTGAAAGTTTTATTTAGATCTACCTCAGAGTAAAAACTGGGATGGAAGGTGCAAGTCAGTCCAACTAGTCAAATTTGAAATGCCCATGGGTCAAGAAAACCAACATACATAAAAATAAGAGTTCACTAAAAGCATATCAAGTTGCATAGAAAAGAAGAACCACTACACAAGCTAACCATGAGTTTGGACCATCAAAAAGAAAGCTGAACTCACTAAATAAAGTTTGCTGCATTCCGAGCAATGCTGAAGAAGACTTTTGGCCTTATCAAGAGCAACATGTAATGCACAAAGTGATTGGATTCCAGACTTGCTACGTGGTCTTGATGCTTCAATAAAAGGAAAGATCTCCAATACTTTACCAACAATCAAAGAGAGTATCTTGCACATTCCTCCATGTAACTACAAGAGAAAACCACAAGCTCAACAACAAATTCATCTAAACAGGACTAAAATAACCATTGTACTCTTTAAAAACACTAAAAAAACTGATTAAAGGATGGATCAGTAGCCTTGCTAACAATTGATATGAGAAATTTTAAAAGAGTCCCATATCTGGAGCACGAATCATCACAAATAGAAGAAGAGATTCGGTTGCGATGATGAAAGAGCTAGTCTTGTTGAAATAATTATAGACCATACATGATTTTCTTCCAGTAAATCCTCTTAACTATCCAATGAATTAGTACTCGCGGCATTAAAAGAAGAAACATAATAAAAGCTTCATTGAAAAGAAATAAAAGATTAAATAATAGAGGGAATCCAAAACTTTGGCTAATAAAGAACGAAACAAATTTAACAAAAGGTTTAAATAGTTAAGAAATTATCCATTATCATGCAATTAAAGCACCTCTATAAAATGAAGCTCTTGAGCAAGCTACAGTTCTAACTGCCATACTAAAAAAAGCTTGCATAACCAACAGAAAACATTGCCACATTACCTTCGCATCGCCAACAATACAAATTTTCTCTTCAATCTCAGAGGAATCCATCAACCCTTCCTCAAAAGACTCCAACGCATATCGATTGATCACCTTACAAAAAAAAAAAAAAAAGTATAAGAACTACAAGCAGAGCTGCAGATCACCAAAAAACCATCGATTTCGGCACAAAACATGGCACAATTTCAAAAGCTCGTATAAAATTAAAGTTAAGAAAATCAAAAACCTATTTTTCTTTCTTTTTTCAAGCAAGCCTGCATCAAAACCCACCAATAGAAAAAAAAAAGGAAAAAAGAAGTTACCCAAGACGGTTTCAACTGCGACAACTTGAAAATATCAATTGCGCGATCCACGGCAAGTGATTTCAAGACCTCAGAGATGAAGCCACGAATTTGCCGACCACCGGTCTCAGAAGAAGACGGAGAACATGACGGCGCCGACAACGGCGATAACTACGCTGTTCACGCGAAGCGAATGAACGGTAAGATAAGTGCGCACAGAGCCTTCGAAGTGGATTCCGAAGATTATTATAGAGAAAACCCGAGGCTTTCAGAAGCCGTAAATTGAGCCATTTACGCGGGGTTAACGGGTAATTACTGTGTTATGTAGCCGGATACTGTCCGCACTAAAGACGCAATTGGATCGGGGAACAGCGAACAGAGAAGTATTTGTGCGAATTACCGCATACGAAAATCTATGCGGACGGGTAAGAGGGCGCCGTGGATATCGGGGATGATGATATGGGCGGGATCTCGGCCGTCCAGTCTGGTTTGGAGTCCTTAGTCTTTTTGCAGCCGTTGGATTGTGGACCCCAAGATTAAGAAGAAGTGTACAAAAATACGTACGTTGGATTGAACATCCTAAGATGCTGCTCCCGAATAATCGGCTCTGCCGACCTCCTTCGTCGGCCGCTTGTGCTTTGTGGTTTTTCTTCAACTGACATTTTTACCCTTTTCTTCGTTGAATAATTTATAAGAGAATAAATCCGAAACTCTCGATGATAAATTTAATTTTGATATTTGGGAAGGTCAAAATTTTAGTTATGTTGAGAGGGCAAGTTTTTATATTTGATCCTGCAATTGGTTTTTGAATTTGAGAACTTTAAGATTATATTTAGGATGGCTTTTTAGTAAAAGAAATTAAAATTTTTTATTGTACTAAAAACTTGTTAGAAAAAGCAATCTGAAAGTCCATCAAGATAAGGCTTCGTTTGGGACGATTTTTTTCTGTTTCTTAAAGCAGCTTCCTAGCACAAAAATTTTAATTTTTGTACTAAAAAGTTACTTTAAGAAGCAATAAGAATGCCGTCTCAAACAAACGGAAGTCTAAAGCTTTGTTAGAGACGACTTTCTTACTGTTTCTTAAAACAATTTTTTTGTACAAAAATTAATTTTTTTTACTAAAAAGTTGGTTTAAAAATCATTAAGAAAGTCTTATATATCATCTATTTTAGAAATTTTCTACAATTTCAATTAATATTCTACCGTCAAATTTGTAATAATAAGCTCAATCTTTCTCTTCTTAACTTAGAGAAGAAGCCATCACTCTCTTTACTTTAGAAGTGATGAGCATATTAACTTTCATTATAGTCAAAGGCACTCTCTCTCTGATAATGCTTAACAAAGATTGGGAGATGCTTTATGTAGAATAAAATGATAATTTTATGTCATTTTAATAGATTGCTTATTTATGAGAATTTTTCAAATTTGAATTAACACAACATGTCGTCGTCATCATCGTAGTCATCATCCTTATTATTTAATATTGTTGCGGGCTAGAATATACGCGGCAATAGTGTTGTAATTTTACGTCTTAGTGTTGGACGGATAGCCAGCTCACACACAGAGAACACAAGATTTTTTACGTGGAAAACCCTTGAAAGGGGAAAAACCACGGGGCTTAGCCCAGTTCAAAAGATTTCACTAGAACTTGAGTTGATTACAATGAGCTGACTCGCCTCCGAGGGCGATCAGATTACAAGTAACAACTGTAAAATAGAAGTATGGGTGTAAGTTGATGGTTTGGCGGTGTTTAGGGCCTCAAATGTTGGTCTGGCGAGTGCGAGGGCCTAAGGCGGTGATCCGGCGAGGGCGAGGGCCTCAGGTGGTGGTTCAGCGAGGGAGAGGGTCTCAGGTGGTGGTCCGGCGTAGGCGAGGGCCTTAGGTGGTGGTCTGGCAAAGGCGAGGGCCTCAGGTGGTGGTCCGGCGGAACTCCGGTGGTGGACCAGCGGTGGTTTGACGAAACTCCGGCAGTGGTCCGACGGTGGTTTGGCAGAACTCCGGCGGTGGTTCGACGGTGGTTCGGCGGAACTCCGACGGTGGTCGAGGAGGCAAGGATGCAAGAGCGATCTCCGATCTCTCTCTTTTTTTCCTTAGGCTTCGGGATCCCTCTTCAAGTGGATAGGGAGATCTATTTATAGATTTTGGGAATGGCATGGCCTGTAAATAGGTGGAGGGTCAAGGGCAAGTTGCATGGTTTGGATGGATGACTGATATTGAATCCCTTGATCGTGGAGCGTTCGCAAGCTATTTGAAGGGCTTGATGATGTTGGAATTCGGTGATCTTGGGCTCGTTAAATTCGTCTCGTCGAGCCACTCGATTCGACTATAAGCTTGTTATGTTTGGAAACCATTTGGTAATCCAAATTGTGGTTCGAACCTTCCGACAGCGCTTCAGGTCCTTGATTTGGACCCATTTGGGCTCGGATTGGGTCGAATTTGGTGTCATTGGGTTCGTATTCCTGAGACGCTCAGTTCAACTATAAGTTTACTAAAACCGGAGTTCAAATGCTCCTAATTTTAATTTCAGAAGTTTCCAACTTGATTTTGCTTTGAGATTCATGCCTGATCAAGATAATTTTTTGACGATGTATCAACCATCATCATCAAAATGTAAATTTTGAAGAAAGAAATCTTCATTCAAATATGGAAAGAATTAGACATACTTAAAAAATGAAAGGAATTTGGTTTATAGTCCAAATGAGAAGAAATTATTACATTTATCATCTCCATAAAGAATGAGAGCAATCAAGGAAGATATCAGCCATCATGAGGATAATTTTATGAAATTACACACATTCCAAACGTGCTTGACTGAATCTATAGATATGGGGATTGCAAATTTTATGCACCCTTCTTTTCTTACTTTCCTTTAATGTTATATAATGCAAAGATGGGAGGTTTGGGTGCATCATTTGATTAAGTAATCCATTAATCAAGCAATCAACCATTCAAAACATGAAAAAAAAGTAGCTATGAATCCATGAGATGGCTAATCCTTCTCTCCTTCAAAGGAATTTTTGTATTATTTTATTTTCATCTATTTTGATTTTTAAGGTTTTAACTAAGGTGCGACTTATAATAGAAATTTGAATTGATGGAATTATGTAATCACAAATAAAGGTGCTATAATCACAAATAAGTACACCTAACTTATCTCATGAATGCTCCTTTTTTCCTGCGTAACTTGGATAATAGTCCCCACTCCCCTCAAACAAAGGTTTCGTTGCAAAAGGCTTTTTTGCTGCTTCTTAAAGCTGCTTTCTAGTATAAACATTTAAATTTTTGTACTAGAAAGCTACTTTAAAAAACAGTAAGAAAGCCATTCCAAACGAAGCCAAACGCTTTTCTCCTAAAAAACGGTTAAACAACCCTCAAGAAGTATGAGGAAAATTCCTCCATATGAAACATTATCATATAAGCGGCGTAATAATACTCATCACTTTCATAGGGTAAATAAGAAGCCTTTTAGGTGTATATTTCTTAATTGTCATGAATCTTGGAATGTTTTGAAGTGTTTTGATCCCTTATAACGTAGGTTCACATATCTGTATATGTTGTGTTTGATGAAAGCGCTTCATGATTTATTGATCATAATTTTTTTTTATAATAACAAAAGTCTCTACTATAGATGTTAACGAAAAGAATATCGAGGCCTTCGTTTCATTCATAATAGCAATTCTCATATTTTATCAACAAAAATTTAACGATGGATCATCTAAAAAAAGATTTCTCCGAAATATTCTTAAAACAAGTATTATTTATCATATATTATTTAATATAATTTGGATTTTATTCTGTTTTAGTCAATTAAATCAGTTTTTTTTTTTTTAATTTTCTTGCATTACAAGCTAAAATCCTTTAATATAAAGATGAATAAAATTAAGTAATAAATTAAGCTATAAGCCAAAAAACAATAAGATAATGATTTTTAAGTATTCTCCAACTTAAACAATCTCTCCTCCACCGTGCAAGTACTTCTGAATCTGATGGCTTTATTATCTCCTTTGTTTGCTTGTAAAGAATCCTTTGTGTGTAGCTTTAAATTTATGTGGTGAAGGCCATTTCAAGAACTTTGTTTGCTTATTGGAAAGCTATGCTTTAATCACAATCTAATTAAAGCTTAATCAAACACCTTTTTTTTTTTGCATATCCATCCACTTTTTTTGAATTATTTTGATGTTGGCAGCTCAATTTATTTATTGTTTTAATTACAAAATTACCCATATGCCAAACAAATGATATTGACATCCATCACCTATGATTTTGAGCTATGGAAATATATTTCTAATGTGTGAAAGCAAAGTTATGTCTAAAAATGTTGGGAAGTGGAGTCGGTTGGTCGACGATTATGATGCACTGATATTTTTTTATGATGAAATATGCTATGTTAGATATGTGTATTTGTGTGGTATGTGTCGGACATATCATTTGCCTGTTTAATTAAAAGAAATAAATATTTTGTAAACATTTTTAACACTACTATATTTTTTGTATATTTTGTTCTATTTTATTGTGATTTTTTAATGTGAAACTTTTTTTTTTTTGTTCAAGCTAATCATTTATAATATCATGTGATGATTTTTCTTCAATTGAGTTTGAGGTCTTTAATAAATATAAATATATTTTTAATTTTATGAGCAATTCAAATAAAATTTTTTATTATAGAAATTCATTTATTTATTTGTATAATGGAATTAGGATGTAAAAATATTATTTTTTAGATATAATATTATAATGATTTGTGCAATGAATATTTGTGTCTCATATTGTTAATAATAGGTATGTCGGGTGTCCGTATCATATTATAATTATGCTATTTTGTATGTATTAGTGTATCGTAGGTTGAGAGTTTTCTCTTCAACTTAGGCTTTAATTTTTGTACTAGAAAATTATTTTAAGAAGCAGTAAGAAAGTTGTCCCAACTGAAGCCTTAGCGACCTGCATTCAAGCATACCTCTAGCTATTAATTAACTAAAGTTTGTCATTATATTGCTCATCAAAAAATAAAAATTATATCTATCAAAGTGACATGTAGATGTGTGCCAATAGCTTGAATTGAGTTGTATAATATAGTTTGTACCAATTAGTTGAACTTCAAAAAATCATAATAGAAATTTATGTTAGGATATTCACAAACATAACACTTAAATAAATCTTATGCATATATTTAGCATTTAAAATTTCTTATATACTTAGGGGTCATTTGTTGGCTGAAAAAAGAGTGCATAATAAAAA